GCCGAGTTTTATAAAATATTTCAAAATTTAAAAAAATATTATGTCGGTATCTACGTGACTCGTGATATATGTGGAGGCAATTCTAAAAGCTTTCCACAAACAGGCTCGTCGTTATCTAAGCAACGGACATCGATTTAGAACATTTTAAGTGAGATCGCTTGTATAGTAAGGACGTGCCTTGAATTTTTATGTCACATTAATCGTGTCATGTGTTAATAATGGAAACAAAGAACATCACAGGTTCTTGGCACTTTCTGGCTAGGCCATTGTTCTCAACGCGAGTTAGCCAGGAGAATGACCCCCTCAATAAGGGTGCGTCGAGCATAACAGTACCTATTCAAAATGACAGGAAATACCTTGTCCATGACAATGCCGGCCGGCGCACAGATAGCCACGTGGCTCGTAGGTGCATTGACTTATAAATATTCTGACAAAAGCTGCTGGAATCTTTGTAACTTATCAAGCGACTGTGATTTCGTGACTTGGGTTAATGTGGTACGCACGACGTTTGCTAGCGTTGGAGCGTATCCTAGTAACGATTTTAGCATTTCAATATTTCTTTTATGCACTGTCTAGTTACACCATTGCTGTTGACTTTTAAATGTATGTACATTGTAATTTTCATAAAAAAAGTATTTTGTTCGAAAACATCGTATTCTAACGTTTCTAGAGACATTCACCTGACACTCTGCAACATAACGTCGTCAACATGCTTCGAGCTACGAGTATAAATATAAAACGACTTGTGTAGCATAAGTTTTTGTTCATTTATTTGTTCTTTGTATACAAGCTTGCTACCTGTAATGGCTTTAATGTATACTATTAGAGAACTAAAGTGAATCGTATGCAACATAACAATAAGCATGGTTAGTATTGAGATAAATACGAGGAGCTCATTCTACAAACGTTTCATGTTCCGCTCTATCTTATTATAAGTTTTTCATTAATTGCGACGGTTTTTCCGCCTGAATCTCATTCAGTCAATTACACGTTCACTAATAACATGTTAAAAACCGGTTTTATTCCATCAGTGTCGTTGATAATTTGTATTTGTTTTTTTTATTACTATTTTAATAGGATAGTCTTTGTATTGTTTAAAGTCCTAATAGACATATAGACATAAGGAAACTGTTTTATTAGTAATAAATTTTTTACAATAATATAATTGTTTTGAAAAAATTTGAATGAGAGATAAAACCAAACGACAAATAAATATTAGAAATACGTTACTTTTACTTGTTTTGAGAATAATATGATAATATTTAAAGTTTCAACTAATTATTTAATCAATTAAAATTTAATTTTTTAACAGGCTTAAAAAAGGAAGAAGTTATTATGCTAAGCTTTAAAATTTGATATATACTTTTTGCATGTAGTAAGTATTGTTTGCAATAGTCAATTATGTATATTTACTACTACTATTAGACTACTAGACTACTTTCTATTTCTATTTATATTTTTTAAATATTTTCTGTCATAATAATTAAATATAGCATAGATTTAAAGCGCTACCTAAACTTAAGGACAAACTTATGACTTGATATTTTAGATAAGATATTCACACAAGGACATACCATTTGAGAGAGTTTAACTACGTCAATACCAATACCGATTTCTATTTTGACAAGATTAGTATTACATTACTATGAGGAACATAGGTCTTTCAATTAAGAATAATAAGATTAAAATTTATTGAGCATAACTCGATAAAAATTTCACGTAACATTAAAATTTGCGTACTAATGCAGGGCCTCTTCTTTCATTAAAAAAAGTGTGAAAGTAACAGAATAAGAATACACTGTCAATTTATATTTATTAAATCCATCATTAATAATTATTAAACTGTATAACTTTCTCCAAGATGGATTGAAAGTGAAAATTTTACAATTATGTTATATTTATATGTAACTAGTTTTAACCCACGACTTCGTTCGAGGAACCAGGTCATATTAATTGACCTAGATAACTAATTATAAGTGAGCAGCATTTGTTCCTTTAAATCAAAATTTTACAATTATTTGAACCATTAATAGATACTAAAAACTAAGTCATAATTACGAATGGGGAAAATTTGTAATAACTTCTGTACTTTCTTCTTATATATTTCTGGCAATAAATTATTCACTAACCTATTTTTAACAAACGCAATGGAAACTATCGCATAAATTAAAATACATGTTCGAATTACTTCGTAATATTCAACAATCTGGTTCGCACTGCGAAAGTGTAAACGGGTCGGGTTAGTGGAACGAAAATTTACCTTGACATCGCTGTGGCTATTTATTCCAAATTATTTCTCACAAAAAGAACGAATCAATTACAATGTGGCATTAGGAAATAGACAATATTGATATTTAATTTAAATTTTCTAATGGTACATTGCACCGGTGGAACGAACAGCTGTTCCTTTATATTTCTGTTCCAATAAGTCCTTATTTTAAAGTGATAAAATCCGTTAAGTAATTCTTGGTCATATTAGAAAGTAGATAGTATAGACAATGACAAATGCTAAAGAGTATTTATACAAGTTATTGAATAGGTACAACGTTACCGTAACACGGTCGGCGCTCTATGACCTAGAACTTGGCGGTAAACAGGCTCTACGACTGGTTATATGAGTCACGCGTAGTAAGTTGATCAGTCAACTGACTTTTCCAAGAAACGATGAGATTTTATTGACGTTTCCTTCAGATCCTCATTGCGGAGGAACAACATTTTGTTGAGTCACACAAAATCAAATATGCATATTTATGTAATAGCTTAATAATATGGATTAGGTTACTTATTATGATAATAAAAGTAAATTACTACTGTCCCTACAATATCTACTACGTAGGTAATATATGCATAATTATATTTATTAATTTTTTCTTACATTTTCATGTGAGTTATCAGTGTGTTTAAAAGTACTTTATCAGTCTAATGTTATGCCATCAAGTACACTTTTGATTAATAAAATTTAAATTGTAAATAAAATGAAATAAATTAATAAAATAAAAAAAAAAATTTTAATTATAAAGTCTTTAACAAAGCCTGTTTTATTTGATGTATATTCATTTGCAACAAATCCTTATTCCATTAATATAATATACTGCCCTGACCGAATTTATGTGTAACATAAAGTAACTCCGACTGTTATGTATGTCACGTATTCTGCTTCATTTGGTATGATTATATAGGATATTAATCAATTAATTTTATCGACTAGGACACAAAAACGGATATTTAGTCTTTGTTTGCCTGCCTGTATAACTAATTTGTTTCTTGTTTTAATATAGTGCTCTAATATTTCTTATTGGATTGTTGTTGTTAACTATATTCGATAATAATACGAATATGTTCTGCTATTTAAAAATCTTTAACATATTTTCTGAGTGTAGGGGTTTCAGTCATACAATGATTAATATTTTACGATGATTATGAAACTTCCGCTTCTCAGATGGATCAATGACCAATAAAAATAATTTTATTTTGATTTTGACATATTGTTTTAATTTTTATTAATTATATCTACAGCCTACTATTATTATTGATTGTGGTAAGGACGATAAAAGTAAGTTGTTTTCAAATTCTGATTTCAATACCATCCAAATACCTTAACAAACTTTCATATTCTATAAAATTTTAATTGATACTTTGTAATGATTTTTAAATGTTTGTTAGTCAATAATCAATTACACTGAATTGATGAATGAATTGAATTGTATCGTGGTACACAAATTGTGGAATCTCATTCTGCACTACGTTTGCCTATACAGGATCCTTGTATATTGATTGTTACTCATTTAACACATAGGTCTATTTCTTTAAACTGCTGACAAATTATAATGTGTTAATTCTGTCAACATATATGTGAAATTTTATCCAAATCTATTTATTTATTTAAGTTAATCAATGAATGATTTTTAATCTTTTACAAGATATATCCTGTTTCCGCAATTCCATAAGTGGGTATTGATTCATACACTTATAACCATCGTAATTTACAAATACTACAGTAATGACGCAATGTTCATTGAACAGTTTAATAACCAATAAATTTTCTATATGCCATATGTTCACTAGGTATAGTGAATCATGTGTGATATTATACTAACAATACCAGAGAGCAAACAAGTTGCTCTTGAGTGTTTATGAAATGCAAACTATATATCTTGGCTGGGTATGCCACATTTATGAATGAACGACTACATACTATACTATACTATCTACCTACTACGTTGGCTATTCGAATCAACTAAGTGATTTCGGAGACGACCGGTGAGCGGTGTTCTAAGAAACACTGACTCAGAGTCATAGCACTGCCATGAAACGAGTCATTTCCGATTTCATTTGATGATAAGATAAATGGATTCATAAAATAAAATACACAGATAAAGCCATAACACTTTTGTTTTTAGATTAGCGTCATTCGTGCAAAATTTGTTTAAATAAAAGCCAGCTATTGTTGTGAAAATGAAAGTTTGATATTACCAGGCGGGCATGAAATTATTTTAGAATACTGATAAATGTTTTACCATTATATATTTGTACACTTTATGCTGCGGATAATAACTTACTGATAAGTAGATCACGCAAGAAAATTATTGATAATGCATACACTTTTATCTCGAGTGTCTTATCATTTAGTCATATATGATTTAAACAGTTGGAAAAATAATTGAGTTGATATAAAATACCTATGTATGATTACCAACTTAGTTAATACACTCACAGATAATAAATTTAATAAAATGAGAACTATTTTTAAATTTAATTCCATGTTAGTAAAGTGGTTTTTAAGTTTCATTGTTTTTAAGTCAATAATAATAAATGAAAGCTATTTTTATTTGATCATACAATACGAGTTTCTATTGCTTTTTCAAATGTGCGTGTGTGTGTTTATTTTGTATATATATATGTGTGTGTGTGTGTGTGTGTGATTGTGTGTATGTGTGTGTGTATGTATGTGTATGTAAGTGTGTTTGTGTAACTTAAATTTAGAATAACAAAATACTCACAGTAGCTTGGCTGATGCCACCAAAGGCGGGTGCAGCACTACTCCTGGTTAGGTATGCTAGAACCACCATCGCGCTCCATATTATCCTTAAGCTGCTTCTCAAACTAATGAACGCCATTTCTGCGGCTAGCGTATTACCTCTTGTATTTCTTAATATTATGCTCATTTATACTTAATTGGTCTATAAAAAATATCTCTTTGATATGGACGGAATGGGCATTTAGTAGAATATTCCTAAACCACTTCGGTTATAAAAATATCTTCTAAGCAATTTTATTGCTTTTATTGTCACGATGTAGCGACGCTATCTGAAACAAATGAATGACAGTGTTCATTATCATTAGATATGTATATTTGTATATATTATCTAAGTAAATATCTACTAAGGCACAGGCATATTTTTATAAACGTCAAAATAAGCTGTCTTTAACTATTTACATATTCCGATATTTATAAACCACTATAACACTTTTCTCCTATGTATAATCGCTATGAAATATATTTTATACTATACCTATTACATTTAGTTTTACTGTAATTACGTATTATAGGTACTAAGGGTAATTTTTCATGAACAACAATATTGATTTTATATTTTTTATTTATACATATATTTCAACTAAGTATTCTATAACAACCCGTTAATGGCCCCGTAAAGAACAAGGGCAAAGGAGAATATTATCCCAGTGCTACCCTCCTGTAATAATACAACCAGTATTACCGCGTATTGTAAACAAAATAGGTGTGTTTGTTGGAGTATTTGGCGTTTCATTGTTTCTGTCTACCCCAATGGGAAAGGCCCGATGTATATGTATGTATGTTACCACGCTGACAAAGCAAATTGATAAAATTTCATGTTGGCTTGATAACACGAGTGTTTTTTTTTTTATTTCCTTAGTAATTTCTTACAATTTTCTATGAATGAAAAAGATTCCTTTTATTCATATCATAGAGTAAAAATATAAATATAACAGCTCCTTTTTATCCCCGAAATGTCGTAAGAGGTAACTCCAGGAATTAAACAAAATACAAGTTTAATTAATTATTTGAATGTAATTATTAAGATTTACATTGTGTTACAATAAATTAAATTTATTTATTTTATTTATTTATTATTTGACTTATGGTTTAATGCATTGTCTTTTATTCTCTCTGTAAAGTGCAATGCTTGACTGATAAATAGACAATGTTTTAATACTAGTAAGTAGTCCATCATATACACAAGTTTTATTATATTCATAGATCAATTATTAAAATTTTTCAAAATTATGTTATAATGTACTAATATATACAGTTTAAAAAAATAAATAAACATACGAAACGACATTACAAAAGTCATGATCTCTCAGATGAATCACATCCGCCATGACTCATACATAATAGATATATGTATAAGAAATCGAAGATCTTCAAATGTAAATATAATTAACTTTTAGCCTGACACATAAGTATAAAAATAAATTAGTTGTTATCAAAGAAACATAAACTTAATATGAACTGAAGGGGGAGGGGAAGAATTGTTAGAAATGAGGTCAAACAGCTCCATAACCCCATTGCTAGCAGTATAGGGTATTATCAGGTCGACCTCCACGCGGTTCCCTTTGGAAATCATCATGGATATTGCTTGTTGAATTTTATCACTTATCATCACTCACTGGTACCCCGCCAACATATACCGATAGCGCAGGTAACGATTACATTATCACCCATAAAAAAACAATAGACGACTTGAATTTCAAACTGCTCCTTTTTTTTTATACAATTTAGAATGCCAAACAAGCTGACGGCCCACCAGATGGAAAGTGGTAAACGTCGCCTATAGACATGAGCAGTACCATGGACATAACAGATTATACTGTTTCGCCCATGATACCCCCATGCGTTGCCATTCCTGAGGACTCAGGTGTTATTCCTCTGTACCCAGTAAATTCACGCCATATACGCCCACCCTTCAAACCGAAACACAGCCATGCAAACACAACTGCTTCACGGTTGAAACACGAATGGGACAGAGGTACCAAAGCAATATTGCTATATTTTAATTTCTAACTAAATCAAACAATAATCATCCTTATCATATCAACTGTTAACTGTCTACTGCTGCATATGGGTCTCCTCCTAATAAGGGGTTTCGATAGTAGTTACCACGCTAGGTGGCAGGCGAGTTGGTAAATGCAGTTAGGCATTAGTGATATTTTTTATTCTACTAATCTCTCTACCATTAAGTACCCTTAGTTACCTTTTACGACACCCACGGGAAAGGAAAGTGTGGCGAAATGTATGCGGGAACCACACGGCAAAATCAAACAATAATTAAAAGGAATTCTGGCGATATTTTTGCATACTTATATCTAAAATCGCAAAATGTTTACTTCATTTTATCTACTTACACTCTGTAAACGACATCGTGTTAATATGCTTTATGATAGAAAATACGTCATGTTACCAATTCCGCAGCGATTTCATAATTACGTAGCGAATAAATATATTTTTTCTTTAAAATAAAATACCTTAATATGATTGGCGATAAAATACACATATACCAATAATACATATATATATATATATATATATATATATATATATATATATATATAACAAGTTTATCAGCAAGACAATTTGTATATTTTGATGCGAATTATTTTTCTTGCGGTAAAAGTTCCTTGGTATTAAATTAACACTATACAAAATTTTATTAAAACCTTTTAGGTATTTTCAACCAGACAATAATAAATAATTTAAGATTTGTATTCTATGAAAACAAACCAAATTCAATACTGACTAAATCAATTATTTTACTTAAAAATTTAGTATTTTTGATTTAAAAACTATACTATAGAACCGATTTTAATAAAATTTCTATGGAATCAATCAGAAAAAATATCTTTTTGCTTAAAAAAGAATTTTCCAAATTATTTTGTAATATTTGTTAAAATAAAAAAGCAACGAATTTAGAACCTCATCTTTTTTGAAGTCATTTAAAAATATATATGCTCACAACTGTAATCCCTAATAGGTTACATACTCAGAGATATTTGTCGACTATGACCGTCGTGGAAAATAACTCGACGAGCCCACATTTATAATTATTATTAAAAGCATACTAGAACCCGACGTGTCAGGGGGCGAGCCTAATGTCGAAACTCAAATTTATTTGGTTTGGTAACTATGTTTTATTCACTGGAGAGTTTGACAAATATAAAAATATTATTTTAAAAATTTGGTGTTATGACCTCTAAATTGATAACTAATCTACATTACGACCACCTTTATTATAAGTAACAGACGAAGATAATACAACAAAAAATACTCTGTTATATCCGTGGTATTATTCATGTCTATAGACAATGGTTACCATTTTCCATCAGGTGAGCCGTCAGCTTGTTTACCATTCTAAATTACATAAAAAAATGAAATATCTAAATAGTAATAAAACTGTAACTAGTCGACATTTGTATTTGGAAAATATTTAAGAAAAATTGAAATGTGTTATCTTAATACAATATTTTTTATGACATTTTGTTACGCAAAAACTACTGTACCAAAATAAAGGCAGTTTTCACAATTGTGTTTTGAAGATCTAACTTCAAATATGATATATGATTTATGTTGATGCGCCATCTAGATATAGTTTATTTCTTTGCTTTTCTTACATTCAAAAGACACTTGTACGAAGTAACAGACAAAAAGGTCGTTTATCAATACATTCTTTCAACACTATTCACTCACTCAATAATGGGTGGATATATTAAATATGATAAAGTACACCTAATCACACCGTTGACCCAGTTAACTTCCCCAAGTGAGGTACCGGTATGTCAGCCAACATTATTATCATTCTTTGTACAAGATAAATTGAACTAACACTTCACTACTCATAAAGTGAAACTATACACAAATAAGATTTGCTACGCAAAAAATTATGAATTCAAATACGTAACAAAATTGATATAGAACCAATACGAAAGTAAACTCTATAGATTGATAAAATAATTATTAGGTATAACAGGTTAATACATACAAACTATGAACTTCATCCTTTTGAAATAATTTAAATTTGCAGTGATTATTAGGAGTGAGTAATATAAGAATATCTATGTATTTTGATTACATTATGTATACATTGGTCCAATAATGAATATATTAAATATTTGTTATCCAATATACAATATCGAAATGGACCCAATTGAAATGAATATAGATATGTGATCTAAAATGTGAATAGGACTCTATTTTCCGCGCTTAGCCTCTCATTTGGGCTGTTGTGCGTATGAGTCGTGGCTAGTACAGCCAACTTAGCTCCGCCCAGAAGCGCAGAAGCTTCCTGGGATCTTCACAGGCCTCACGGAGCGATCTCACCGTTCCGAGGATTTATAAATGTTGATGGCCACAGCCTCAGGATTATGTGAGCAGCCGTCTCTTCGGCGTCGAAACAGCCTCGACATAGAGGTCTGTCTGTGGTTCCTATTGTGTATAAATGTTTGTTTAATGGACAATGGCCCTATATGTGACCTGTATAAGCAATATCGAAATGGGTAATGACGTTCTTTCCACCATCAATGTCCAAAGGAACACAATATATATAGATATTGGTGTGGTACCAATTTTACCCAAGCCTACTGAATATGTCGTCACGTATATTTTGAAGTAAATCTATCTTTTCTGATAGCTTTTTTCTAATCCTTCTTTATATTACAGGGTTACCCAAAGGGAATATTTTTGTTTATTCTCTGGGTCCGATATTATAAAAATATCTATTGTATCTGTTATCTCATTGAACAAATTATTTTGATTATGGGACCGTGACAAAATAATAAACCTGTAACGCGCCGCAAATCGAGAAAGTTTGAGAACCTCTGTTATATAAGATAAAATTGAACTATCACTTCTCACGAAATGAATCTATTATATATTAAGCTATATTAATGAACTAAAACATCTGCTATATCAGATAGCGTATGGAAAATAAACTGACGTAGATGATTTTAACGATAAAGTGAAGAGAAGTCAAAATGGCAATTTTGATAAGGAGATTAATTATAATATAACTTACTATAAACGTGACTGGTTTAGTACAAAACGTATGTTGTAGAAGAAATTGTAGCTTATCATTTTCGTATGGATTTATAGCTTATCACATCGCTATCATGTCATGTGCCATATGGTCCCTTCATTGAATGGACTACCTCTACTTGGGTGTCGTAAGAGGCGACTAAGGGAACTTAATAGTCAAGGAATGGTCGGCAGCGTCTTTCTTAAAACATCACCAAAGCCTAATTGCAGTTGCCAATCAGTCTGCCATACGTGGCACCTACTAGTATATTCAATAGTAGATAATTAACGATTGATATGAAGATGATGATGGCATCGCTATTAGATTTCACTAGTTGAATAAAGAAAACATAAAAAATTACAAAAGAATTTAATGTTATATTGGCCGTATACAATTTGTTTTCAATATTTGTAAAAATCTTTATGAGTGCACAATCCATCATTTCATCCATCCATCTGTATCGCATAATATTGTTTAAGATTGTTACAATGTTGTCTTATGGGATATAAAATTTATTTACAACAATAATTGATGTTGACAGCACGATTTGCATCAAATATCTATTGATTATACAACGCATACGGGCAGAGACATCGCAATAAAGATGAAAATTTTCTATGCACTTAGTTATTTTTTATATCAAATTAAGCGCGTTTAACTGCACTCGTAGTGACATTAAGTTTAAAATACGTTAATATAAAATGTTATTTAATACATTTGTATATTTTTTTTTCGTAAATTCATTCGTATCGTAGAAGATCTAAGCAATATTACATTCTTCTAAATCCACCGGAATTAGACTGAGAATCACCACTAATTCAGTGTTGAAGTTTTATTCAAATAAGTTGTCACATACAAACAAATTAATTTGGGCTCGTACAGAAACTGAAAGCGCGAAACAAACAGAAGTGTCGCCAGCAATGTTCCGCTCGCCGGAGCGTGACGGTGCGCGGAGGTAACGCCGCTGGTTTCACTAGCGACATTGGACTCAAATTTACTTATTACCTAACTTTATTTTAGTCAAACTTTTTTTCCATAGGGCACTTGTCCACGCTAGCCATTGATTGCAATATAAATTTTGGCATCCATTTATAATTAATGTCATGACGTTTAATTTTAAACATAGAACTAATCAACTTATTTCAAAAGAAGTGAACGAAGATTGTTTATGCCATGAACAATAAACATGCTTCAGTGTCGAGCGATTTTACCTCTTAGTATTTATATAATTAAGTCACTCATTTATTATTGACTTACGTATATCGACAGTCTAAGTAATAGATAAATACCTATAATTAAAAATCAACTATATATTAAAAAATTAACAGACTATTATTATCTACATTTTTTAACTCGCTTTAAAAGCTTTAAGTACATAATATTTACATAACATTACGAGCATAAAATAGATATTTTTTTTATAATTTTATTTCTCTACCGCACTTGACTAGTGCATGAAAATGGTCTTTAAGACCAGTCATTACTCGAACTCTATCTACGTTTGTTTGAAGAGTTGTATTGTGTGTTGAGAAGTGCTTATTTATTTTTATAGACATTGTCTTAAAAACACGTTAACTAAGATTATCTTCTATACACACTTTGTAAATATAATTATTTTTAATAATCGGTATTAAGATAGTACCTACATGTAAAATACAATAAAAAAATAGAACTTGAACGACACTACTAAAAAACAAAACAACCGAGCAAAACATTTGATGATACTCGTATGTAAATAGTACCTAACTAATTAGTATGAGAGTATTATATACTCGGATGTAGGTAGTAAAAACAAAGATATAAAGATAAGACGATGGATTGTACAGCTTAAACAGCGCGATTGTCATCACGCAAGATTTACAAGCGGTCTTCTGAGTATGATGACAGAATGATGAGATACCTGAGATGCTGAGATGCATCTCAATGAAGGTGCCGCGCGCCCGAAGCAATGTTTCGCGGTAGATGCTCTCGTAGCGATGATGCGGTGACGTGTGCAATTTCGCATTGAAACGACCGTGGTCTTGTCTTCCTACTTCCGACTCCTCACAAGCAATACTAATAACGTAAGTTTATATCTATTGATGACAATTATTACGATATTGAGAATATACAAAAATGTTTATCAGATTCTGAAAATATTTAACATTCTGTCGATTTCCACAAAATAGGTAAAGTACTTTTACTCAATCGGCAGAGAGCATCTGATCTTATGAGTTGATTTGAATAAGCTAGTTGATATAATTTTGTGTAACTTATCTAAATTGGTATTTACCGCTGTTTTTACCTATTTTTGCTGTTTATGTGTATTAATACTTTGGAGCAGTTTTTAAAATAAACATAACGCTAATTGTAACAAAATTGTTATAGAACCAAATTCGTTATTTACGAAATTATAATTTGTCTGTGTTTAACGGCTAATTAAAAATAACCTTTTTTTATTAATCTTTTTTAATGCAAATAAAATATGTTATAGATAAAACCTAACCTAGAATTTTCAATGTCTGATAAATATTCGTATCTAGAACAAAATAATATTAACACAGAAACAAGTGTTATAGGTAATTAGGTTAAATAGCCATTATACAGATCCATTATGATTTAGTATCAAGTTCAATGTCCCATACGACAGTTGCAAATTGTACAAGGCGTTAGTCATTCCTATGATACTTCTACCTCAATGTCTTTGGAATACCTACACACGTTCCAAGAAGAAACTTGTTTATTTACACTGCCGTAAAATAATTACCTGTATTGGCCTAATTTATTAATGTACTTACTTTACTAATTGTCGCACGTTATGGTGACTTTGTCATGAGTATGTAAATTTACTAAGAGACTGTAAAATAATAAATCAACAAGCAAAGATTATTCTTCCACTTAGCATTGGGTCAATGTTTTGAATTTCACAGTATTTTTATTATTAAAATACTTGTAATTATTGTCTTTAAAACTTTTACAAGTATCGTCTGAACGACAAAATGATTTGCTAATTATAAAGGAATTTCTTGTACGTAGTCATATGAGAAAGGGTTGTTATCAAACTGATAAGATTTGGGCCTTTATCCGTTGAATTTACGTGATAAACGTTAAGTTTATTTTGTGATAAGACATTTTTGTTTCGCGAACAAAAATATTCCTTTTCGAACTACTCTCAGAAATATTACAATTTAATATGTTTTTTTTTTACTCAGTAATTTATATTATTCAATAGTTATAGTATATAATAGTGTCTCTTAGACATATTTATAAAGATCAGGTACGAACTGATTTCTAAAATCATAAACAAAAGGCTTTTATTTTGATTTTACAAATCATTAATTAATGCAATCTTTAATCAATTAAATGGTTATGAATATTTAATTTCTTTGTGCTTTATTTTTATATTTTATTCATAATTAAAACTTAAGTAGTTATTACATATTCATGATTGAGATTACCTAAATCGTATATAATATAATAATACATTCTCATTCATTACCAGACTAAATGAAATGTTTCCGTTTTTAAAAATATGACGTGACCTACATAGCAGTACCCTTTATTGTGTATAGTAGATATGAAAACCATAATTTTTGTAGAAAATTTGTACAATTCTTTATGTTATTACTGATACACATTCTAATCGAATAATTAATTTAAAATATGTCATATCAGATACGAGTGATAGTCACAAATAAATAATATACAATAGAATAATGTTTTTATACTGATTCTAGCTTAATTTAAATAAAGTATTCCTGTTTTTAACTAACTTTATGTATAATAAATAAAAACTTTACATCTCTTTGAAAAACTAGATATTTCCATAAGATCGCCTACTCTAATCAAATCATTTGTTTAGTGTAGGTGGATCCGATAATGATAGTCACAAGCCACAAAGTATCTACATGCAATTTTCCTTTATAAGCTGATATTCACAATAGACAGGAAAATATTTATGGTAGTAGGTATAATCTATACAATCATATATTTGTTAAATTAAGATCAACCTAGCCAAATATACTTTTTTCTATCTTTTTTTTATGTACAAAATTACATCAATAAAATGCCGTGATAAAAAATATAAAGGTAGATATACCTACTCACGTATAAATTAAACAGTTTTATGCTTTGTTGTATTAACTTTTTATTAATTTAATTGATTATAAATATAATAAGAATTGCAGTTTTCACTTATAAAGTAATAAAGTGTTTACTTAATATTGCAAAAAACAATTGGTCAAATTCAATCTAATATGACCTTCAAGTGGTTTTTTTATACGTATAAACAATAACAGTACAGTAGAAAATGTTTTTACCTGTATTATGGTCCTAAGTAGCATTCACGTAATCCTTTTATTTACTTGAAACGCTGTATGTCGTTTCACTAATGCGGTCACGTTAACCCTATCTATTAACGAAATTTTGTAAATATCGATAAAAAAATAGAGTCTATTATTGTTGGAAAACATGAAGCACAGCGCACTCGTATATCACCAAGGTTTCGTGTTTGACACTTTTTTCTTTGCAATTACACGAAATTTCAAAGAAAATGTGCGCGCGGCGAGACGAGCGACTGCGGTCGTGGAGCCTCCAGTGGCACGACCTACCGCAGTCCGCGAATTTGGTTGAGTGTGAGCCGCGGTAGAGACGCGCGCTTATAAAATGCCGGCCGCTCGTACCGTCGGTGCCTTACCCCGCTAGCCACGAAGCCTCCGCCCGCCCGTACAACTAAACTTTACTGAAGCTTATCATGCTTTCGGCGAACTGAAATCTAACGCAACGGTGGGGTCGTTGCGTACTGCCCCAACGAGCTTCAACTATACTCGAAATTCCTTGAATAACAAGTAGGTAACATGTTAGTAAGAAATGCGACATCTTATCGTACTGTGATTGATGTATAATCAACTTAAAAAAAAAGGAACTTCTCTATTCGGAAGTTATTATTTCTAAAGCGATCTTGATATTTTTATAATATAAGAACATTTTCTTTAGTATGTAATTAATTTTAAAATAATCAAAATATAGTTTTTATTTAAGAAATTTATGTTAAACTTGAATTCTACTTTGTATATAAATTCAGTTTGTTTTATTACTGTGATAACATATGATGAATACTCGCAAGTATATCTATTTAGTATACCTATATTACCTAAACACAAATCGCAAAAATAAAAACTAGCTAGATACTGCAATGCTCACAAAATTAATCCAGGAGTAATTAAAAAATAATTAAAGAAATAGTACATAATAGATGAATTAAGAACATCTTTCTGTATGAAGGTAATACTAGAAAATAGAGTCCCATGTAACTAAATGTGCTTATTCAAACATACTTTGTTAAATAAATAAATATCTTTATCTTTAAATTAAAACAACACTAACTTTTATTCGTACTGTTCCTAAAGAAATTTTGGAATAGTATCCAATATTAAAAATTCCATGTTTATAATGTCAGTTGTCTAAACTGTACATTCATACATCAATCATTTAGTTCTTTAATTTCATAAAGAACATTAATAATATATGTTACGTAAACATTTATTATCTTCTAAAAAATGAAAATTGAAATATATATTTTTTAATAAAAAAAAAAATACAGGCAAGTGCAAACAATTCAAAGCATATATGCACAGATTAATACATATTAAAGTATTGTTGTTTATAATTGTTATAAAATATATTTTATTTATGTAGCTTTAAATTAATCAATAACACTATTTACTATATAAACTAACAAATTAGATTGCTGTAGGTACATTAAACTAAATTATTAAAGTTTTCCCTCTTGAGATTTTCCTAATTGTTTCCCAAGAAACTTTAATAGCTTGACATCCTTGCGTTTCGCGTCGCTTGTGCATCATATATGACTGTTTACTATTAGATTTCATAGTACAGATGTCTAGACTTGTTTGTTTGATAATGATTATTTTTAGTTATTTATAATTAGCTAAAAATATTTTTAAATCGTTACTGTAGATAGTATAAGCATACGAATAATTTGTTCATTCTATTATTATTTTTTATTCAAATTTGTTTCATTATAATGCTTCTTATTATATCTAAATATTAAACAAATAGACAACATTCATGACTTTTATAAAATATTCTCTACAAATGAAACAAATTTATTAACTAGGTACATTAAAAATAATGAAAAGTTCCTCATTTAATGTTGATGCTTAAAAATGTATGACATATTTTAATTAAAAAAAGCAACAATTTACACATGTATTGCCAACATAAATTAAATATATAATATAAGAAAAGGTGAACTTATATAATGATTTATTGAATAGTAGATTATTTTAATAAATAATGGCAATGGAATATAACGCAAATTCCCTTAATAGGAAATAGTTATCTGAAATTTTCCAATTCCTTGAAAAATATTGTGTTACCTACAGCCTACATACTGTATTTTCCGCTATTATAATATAACATATAAAGCATGAGTAATATACCGCTTGTTAGTTCTATGGTAACCAAAGAGTCATTTACAGACAACATGGCATTTATGCTACTTAATCATACATACAAATACATTTAAAAAATTGTGTACTACGTATGTGTATAGCGTAAATATTTTCCTTTGTATTAATATGTCTGAGTTGCGGTCATAACCTGCGACATTTAAAATGTTCCCGTGTAAAGAAACCACATGAGTAATTTAATTATAAAATATTATGGTTTGATTTAGTCCGTTACATAGTGTAGTTAAAAAAGAATCAGTTGTTTCATATATTGTACTAAAGATATAAAAACAAAAGTTTTATATCAAAAATAGATATAAGAATAGAAAAGAAAAGAAAATATTGTTATTATAAATTCCTTTTTTCAAAGTATTTAAAAAGTTAGTTTTCAAAAAGCTGAATTTCAGCTTGATGACATAGTAATATTGATGACATAGTAGTATTAATACTAAATAATAGTTTTTGACCGAACTTTCGGTATCAGTTTCGACCACTTTTGACTCAACTTTGGAGTTTCGCATTAACTTCAATTGTAACAGAAAATTGTTCGAATCCGCGGCCCAAACTGAAACTGTATTCAAAAGTTTTGAAACCATTTTCGGTAGAGCATTACTAGCCACTAGAGCTAAAAATAGTATAGTTCAAAATTTGGTACTAGATACCAAAAGAAGGAACTTTGACATTTCCCTACATATACGACAGGTAATTAAATTTGCCACAAAATAACTAGTTGTTAATAAAACGCCAATCGCAATGCGTTGTAACAATCATCGATTACAAATAAGTATCTACCGAAACCCGATGACAAAGCTATTGTGTACGATGACTAAAGCTACCCCCATATGACTCCCCTGAACAGCTGGAGGCAGTCAAGTGGCGCAGTAGTAGCAGCGCAGGCAACGTGCACTGAGGTCACCGCCGAGGGCCCGGGTCAAGGATGCCGTATCGGCAGAATGACTTATCGTGGAAACCGTGCCCTTTATGTATTTCACATTAAGTTTGTAATGCATTATTGTTTCTGTAGAAATTTAAATAGGTATCTATGTACAATTCAATAAGTAAATATATATTATTAGTACTGAATAGGTTTTATATACAATTCATAAAGAAATGAAACAAGAAGCGACTTCCAAAAAAATTATTTTCAATCTGTTTAAATTATTGTAACTACTAGTTTTTTGCCTTTTTACTTCGTACGCATACTTTTCAAAAGCAGGAAAACTGAATAAACTACTTCTAGATAATGCATCGAGATAAAATACACACCAATTTTTAAGTAAAACCTTAAGTGATATAATAGAGGTAACCACATTAAATTTGGTGCAGTAATTATTACGTAATGCCGGAACAAATATACCCACAGACAGACAGATAGACAAACGAAATTTGTAAAAATTATTGATTTGGCTTCTATTGCTCCTGCTGAATCCACTTACATCAATTTTCAACCGACTTCAAAAAGAGGGAAGTTCCCAATTCGATTGTATTTTTTTGTTTGTTACTTCATAACTCTGTCAGATCTAAACTCATATAGAAATTATTTTTTCATCTGAAATGATATTCTTACAGATTGGTGCCATAGAAGTTTTACTAAAATTTGTTAAGTAGTTTAATTTTTAGATCAAAATACCTAGTTTTGCCATAATTGAAGTCGATTCTTTTTGTGGAATACAATCTTTAATTATTCTTTAATATCTTCCATGTACAGGTATCGTCCAGTTATAATTTTATTGTATTATATTAGTGTATACAATTTTATGCGGTTGCGTGCTAATTGCAAATCAATTTTCACAATTCTTTTGTAGTCAACAAGGTTTATAAATATTCTTTATTGCACTGAAACGTACAGGAATAATAAAAATTAGAAATAATGTAAGAAAAGGTGAACTTATCACTAAAAGAGATCTCTTCCAGTCAACCTAACACAGTGGTATAGGAAGTAAATGAGTGGACAGCAACAATGCAAAATAGAAATCTAAAAAGTAGTATTTATGTACAAAATTTACATTATATCTATATATGGAAAAATTATGTTGCTCTATAATTTTTTTGTACATGTGATTTCTTTTATCTCGTTTTTTGTGTATGTCTATCTATGTCAGTTGTAATTTGTGTACTGTAAGTAATGCAAATAAATTATATATCTATCTATATGTAGTATACAGTACTATTCCTACTTTACTCCTGTACTACTTCATATTAATTTTGAGACAGTTGAAGTTACCATTTTTCATCGTTAAGCAAAAACTGCTTGTTGAACATGAAATTATTTATAGACTTCAAATATTTTCAATTTAATGTATGTACAAAACATCTCGTCGTTTATTTGTGTGTATGAATTTACAACTGAAGTAGTTGCTTTTGTGACACAAAATATATTTACATACTACATTAAACAAAAAATCTTATGACCCAATAATAGATAGTCAAAAGTAAAAAAGTAACAATATAGATCACTTTTAAATGACGTATCAATATAAAACGTACACAAGATTTTAATATCTTCTAGAAACTACTACTATTGCTCTTATTGACCCACGAGGAAAAATGTTTTTTTTAAATATCTCTCATGTACAAACATCGTCTGGTTACAATTATTATTATATTGGTAAGATAATACGTAAATTATACATCAATTAATTGTGTAATAATTGTTATTCTACTTTTGAATATCATAATAAAACCTGCCTACCCCTTAAAAGATTTGTCCTTAATATAAATAGATGGTTAAAAATATATACATAACAAAATATAGAAAGGAAATATGAAGGGGGAAAATATATAAAGATATATATTGTTATTATTAATAATACTGAATATGCGGACTGTTAAAATGGATCTGACAATCCTAATATGATAGATAATTAAATTTAGGACACGAATAGAGATAGAAAAAAAAATTATTAACAATTTCACATTACACGTATTTCAGAGTATACCGAATGGGACTCCCACTAAGCAATAGAACAACGTTGATTTCCAATGAGACTACTGAATACATTATAACTTAGACGATAGGATACTTTACGTATTTTTTATTAATTATGGGGAAATCGGTTGATGGAATGATAAAATATCTTCAACCTCGAGAACGGCAATGCCTGAGGGGTAATATAGGCATATCTATATATTTTTAAGTAAATACATTTAAATGTATATGCAAATAAAATAA